CTCGTCTCAACCCCAACATGTTCAGCAAGAGCTCCGCCTCCATGTCTGGGCTTAACAGCTTACCCATCCCCCACCTCCCCATCAACAACCTCCCCATCAGCAGCCTTTCTCACACGGCTGGTCCACACTCATACGGCAAAAAAAGTCCAGAGCCTGCAGAACTTCACACGTATCACAACGGAGAGCTCCCGCAGGTCAACATCCGCCTACGCCAGGGCTCACCACTGTCCCCCTCGCCCTCTCGCTGTCACTCCCCCTCCCCGCCTCCCACTAGCAAAGCAGGAAAGTGGTTATGCTCCGCCCTCCGTGGTTCAGCGGATCCCACTCGTGAGGATGACGGTGGTTCTGGTACCAACAACTCTGACAGGACTAAAGGTCCCATCTTTGAGCCTCTGAGAGCTTTTAAGAACTTGTCCTTGACCGAGCCACCCCGCTGTCCCTCGCCACGGCTCACACATTCTGGGAACGAGACAAACCCTTTGATTGGCTGCCTGCTGCAGGAGAGACAGGAAGTTATAGCTCGAATTGCACAAAGGCTCAACTTCTGTGACCCGACAGCTCCGCCGCTCCCTCCGGGCCTGTTTGCTTCTGACAACCCTCCCAAAGCCATGTGGGGCAGTAACCATGACAACCTAGCTGCCACTAAGACCAAAGAAGCCGAAGCACCCCCCTGTGAGTCCACGGGGCGAGTGTGGCCCAGCCCTTTCAACACACCTGTGACTGAATGTTCTAACGTCAAACGTGAGGCGTCGTCTCCCAAACCCACAGCCTGCAGGAAGTTAAAAATGACCGAGACTGGAGACGCAGAGGAGGAAAAGAACGGACGAGGGACAGGCGGAGACAAGAAGAGGGACAGGGACAGCTCCCTCATTGCCCAGGCAGTGCAAGATATCACCAGGCTGATCCAGGAGAGACTGTCCGTCCCCTCCGTGTCCCCCAGGCCCAGCCGGAGCTGCAGCCCTCTGCACCACACGCGCACCACAACCGTCACACACACTGTGCGCACATACTCACACCCCACGCACATTCCACAAGCATCACACACTGCCTGCAACGGCTACGCCAGTGGCCACATCCCCCGCCCCGAACCTCACAGAGGCAGCATGCACGGCGCTGCCCCGCACACGCTTGTTTGCACAGACGAGCCCCGAGCTGGAGCCGGGACCGCATGCGGTTCTCTCCGGGCCCACAACGGGGCTCAGTTTACACTTGAAGAAGCCTCGCCCAACGGCCGGGCCAACAACCAGGCAGGCCAGCGTTTACGAGCTTCCCCGCAGGAAAAGCTGCGAGTCAGGACACCCAGCAGCCATGCGGCCCCCCCCGCTTCCCCTGTTTTAGACAACAGATCCAGAAATGCCCAGATGTTCAGCTGGATTCACGACTCCAGCCTGGCTGCGGACTGTAACAGACACCACAGCAGGTCTCCGACCCAGAACGGTGTTCCAGCTCAGGCTTCTGCACTCCAGGATGAGAACCAGGCCCCCTCAGAGTCCGGGTCCAGCACCTCCAGTCCAGACACGGCTCCATCTCCACCAGTCTTCGTAAGAAGCTTTTACATGATTTATTCCTGTACAGAGAATTTCTGACACCTACTTTTATTTTTGTCTGCTCTGAGAGGAGGTGTGAAGTTTGGAGGCCTTCGTAACAAACAGGAAGTTATTGAGCAGTGTTGAGCTACTTCCTACAGCCTGATGTTTCTTTTGTATTCATCAGAACGCCATAAATCATCGGATTTACCTGCTGTTAGCTGGCTTATCTGAACTGTAGACGTAAGTACGGGCTATTGAAGTCTCTCTCTGTCTCTGCACTCCAGCGTCCTCACTGCCCCGCCCCTCTGCGTCCCTGCAACAGCTGGAAGAAACAGAACCGTCACTCATTAGACGCCACGACAACCAAGGCTTTTCACCCGTGCACCGGCCTCCCGCTGCTCTCCAGCCCTGTAAGAAACACTCACGGCTGCTCAGCCCTGCTTTTCAGCGTCGGTTGTGCTGATGCTGCTTTCACATGTAGGCACAGATAGTGTGTGTGTGTGTGTGTGTGTGTGTGTGTGTCTGTGTGTGTGTGTGTGTGTGTGTGTGTGTGTGTGTGCGTGTGTGCGTGTGTGCGTGTGTGCGTGTGTGCGTGTGCGCGTGTGCGCGTGTGCGCGTGTGCGCGCGTGCGCGCGTGCGCGCGTGCGCGTGTGTGTGTGTGTGTGTGTGTGTGTGTGTGTGTGTGTGTGTGTGCGTGTGTGCGTGTGTGCGCGTGTGCGCGTGTGCGCGTGTGCGCGTGTGCGCGTGCGCGTGTGCGCGAGTGCGCGTGTGTGTGTGTGTGTGTGTGTGTGTGTGTGTGTGCGTGCGTGCGTGCGCGCTCCAACACGGCACGTTCTCCAGGTAAAGAACTGTGAACGTTCGTCTTTAGAAGACTGAAACATCTTGTTTTATTGCTGCTGAGTAGAGACCATAAACACAGGCCTCGGCAGCCATGTTGGCTGTAAGCTGTTGAACCAACACACACACACACACACTTGTTCTCATGTGCTGTATTAGTCCCACCGTGGGGACGTTCACTTGCTGCAGCAGCACACACACTTAGAGCACAGTAGGAAGAATAACCAGATTACAGGTAGCTGTTGTTGTAACCTTCAACCGCTAAAAACAACCAATAAAACACAAACTTGTGTTTCCAGAACTACGCAGCACGCTGCAGTAGACCAGCACGTACTCTGTAAGTCCGGTACTGCCCGAGTACTGAGCACATGCTGAGTAGCAGTGGTGTTACTGTGTACCAGGATCAGGCCAGTTCCAGTTAAACTGCAGAGTGAGTCTGTGTTTAACCCCACGGGGGGCCTGATGGGACTTCATATTCATCATTTTATAACCATATGGAGCTAAAAGTATTTGTCTTCTGTCATTTTTTGTTTTCAAATGTTTCAGATCAGCAAACAGATGAGATATCAGAAGAAAATAAACCGAGTAAATGTGGCCAGATTCACTTTTCTGATGATTTCACTTCGACTATCTAAAGCAACCTGAAAACTCGTTTCCCTCTGATCCTAACGGCTCAGGCAGGCTGAACATGACAATAGTCTCCTACACCTATCAGAAAAGCCTGACAGATCCACGTCACACTGCAGGCCTTGATGCTGGAGTTGTGATGTGAAACCTTCACTGACGGTTCTCCTGCTTTGGGCTGGAAACTGTTCCCACCGTCTTCCTGAATTATTATTAACCGAAAATGCTCTCACGGAGACCCCCACCCCCCGCTGTCGCGGCGACCCCAACCCCTCCCTTCACGGATACTGGTGAAACGCTTCGCTCCAGAAGCTCCTCCCACTCCCGTTCTCAGGCCTTCCTGTATTAACTCTAAAAGCGACAACAGGGAACCAGACAGACTCCTGAGTGATTAATAAACTCCACTTAAACATCAGAAGCGTAACAACGCGCCATAGTGAACTGCAGGCCTTATTAGCCTGCTTAGATCATGAATGTGATATTATTGGGTTTAGTGAAACCTGGCCAGATGAGCAGTCCCTAATCTGCACGGTTTATGTGTTGCATCATAAAATAGAAAACAGAAACCAGGGCTAGGGTTAGGATGACTTCCTCAGACTCGCTGTTCATTGAAATAGTCACTGGAAATGAGAAAAATAATGTAATTGTAGGAATAAAACCAAACGAGATGGAGCTACCTGGAGTCACTAACACAAATACAGAAAACGTCCTGGCCAATAATCTGACTAACTCTCTTATGTCCATGGGAACAATTGTCTCATTCTTCTAGTCCACCAGGGGGCGCTACTTATAAACAATAGTTGCAAGGACACTACCCAAACTCCTTCTTCTTGAACCCTACTGATGACACAGAGATACAAAGTATCATCTGTGGAACCGTAACCTTAGAACATCACCCCAGAACCATAACACTAGAACCCTAACCTTAGAACATCACCCCAGAACCATAACACTAGAACCCTAACCTTAGAACACTATCCCCAGAACCATAACACTAGAACCCTAACCTTAGAACACTATCCCCAGAACCATAACACTAGAACCTTAACCTTAGAACATCACCCCAGAACCATAACACTAGAAACCTAACCTTAGAACACTATCCCCAGAACCATAACACTAGAACCATAACCTTAGAACATCACCCCAGAACCATAACACTAGAACCCTAACCTTAGAACACTATCCCCAGAACCATAACACTAGAACCTTAACCTTAGAACATCACCCCAGAACCATAACACTAGAACCTTAACCTTAGAACATCACCCCAGAACCATAACACTAGAACCTTAACCTTAGAACACTCTCCCCAGAAACATAACAGTAGAACCCTAACCTTAGAACACTCTCCCCAGAACCATAACACTAGAACCCTAACATTAGAACACTCTCCCCAGAAACATAACAGTAGAACCCTAACCTTAGAACATCACCCCAGAACCATAACACTAGAACCCTAACCTTAGAACACTATCCCCAGAACCATAACACTAGAACCCTAACCTTAGAACATCACCCCAGAACCATAACACTAGAACCTTAACCTTAGAACATCACCCCAGAACCATAACACTAGAACCTTAACCTTAGAACATCACCCCAGAACCATAACACTAGAACCTTAACCTTAGAACATCACCCCAGAACCATAACACTAGAACCCTAACCTTAGAACACTCTCCCCAGAACCATAACACTAGAACCCTAACCTTAGAACATCACCCCAGAACCATAACACTAGAACCCTAACCTTAGAACACTCTCCCCAGAACCATAACACTAGAACCCTAACCTTAGAACATCACCCCAGAACCATAACACTAGAACCCTAACCTTATAACATCACCCCAGAACCATAACAGTAGAACCCTAACCTTAGAACACTATCCCCAGAACCATAACACTAGAACCTTAACCTTAGAACATCACCCCAGAACCATAACACTAGAACCTTAACCTTAGAACACTATCCCCAGAACCATAACACTAGAACCCTAACCTTAGAACATCACCCCAGAACCATAACACTAGAACCCTAACCTTAGAACACTATCCCCAGAACCATAACACTAGAACCCTAACCTTAGAACATCACCCCAGAACCATAACACTAGAACCTTAACCTTAGAACATCACCCCAGAACCATAACAGTAGAACCCTGACCTTAGAACACTCTCCCCAGAACCATAACACTAGAACCTTAACCTTACAACACTCTCCCCAGAACCATAACACTAGAACCCTAACCTTAGAACACTATCCCCAGAACCATAACACTAGAACCCTAACCTTAGAACACTCTCCCCAGAACCATAACACTAGAACCCTAACCTTAGAACACTCTCCCCAGAACCATAACACTAGAACCCTAACCTTAGAACACTCTCCCCAGAACTATAACACTAGAACCCTAACCTTAGAACACTCTCCCCAGAAACATAACAGTAGAACCCTAACCTTAGAACATCACCCCAGAACCATAGCCAAGATGGCGCCAGTGTTGCCGGCCTGCCGTCTGTCGGTTCCTTGACTTTGGGTGCTTGTGTTTTTGAGCGTGGGTTCTGCAGCATGCTCATCCCAGTCTTGTGTACGATCGTCAGACGTCGTCTTTCTGCTGGAGGTTCCCCGTCTGTGGCTGCAGAGTCATCTCTCCTTTTGCCTTCACTCGGCTTTTTGTGAAGTCTGACTTTGCTGATCTGAACTTAAGAAGAAAATTATTTTTCCAGCTAACATCTACGGAGTAACAAGATATTTAGATGTGAAGGACAACTCTGAAATAACTGCAGTGTCTGTGTGTGTGTGTGTGTGTGCGTGCGTGTGTGTGTGCGTGCGTGCGTGTGTGTTCTGCAGGTTCCTCAGAGGAAAAATCACACGGGTTACTTTGACCTGGACACCTCTCTGACTGGCTGCAGAGGTTTGCCCTGGGCCTCCGGGATCAGGTACTCGCTTCTGTTCCAGTAGTTAGAAAACTCACCTGTCCTCCTGACCCAGGTCAGTGCACCTGGGTGTCCCACTACACAGGTGCAAAGGTCAAAAGACCGTTAAGCAGTGGCTTTATCCGTGCTGACGTTAGTGCCGTCGGAAATCAGCCATCCTTGCATCTCCTTCTGGGTTTTTGTTTTAACCACCGAGACTCTGCTGGCCTTCTTATTCTACTTTAAACACCCAAATCTGAATTTGAGAGGACGGCTGGTGCCATGATCCAGTCTAAAGGGAGCTAGGAGGACAAGCCTTGTTCATTAAAAGATAAATCCTCCATTTTACCTGAACCGAGAGTTCTGTGTCACACCGCCCGCCAGAGAGGCGCACGTCAGGATTGGCTGTTGTGTGCTCCAGCTGTGGAGTAACGAAGCAAGGGGTAGAGATAATAAAATATGGCCTCAGCAGGAGGTCGGGAGGATGGTGGACAAGAGGTTTGTGGCTTTGTGTGTTTGCAGGGACAGATAAGTGAGGAGCATTCTGTTTGAAAGGTGTTACTGGTTTTCTGTAGAGGCCAGTTAGCCCAGCAGGAAGCTGTTCAGGTTAAACACGAAGAAGATCTCACCAGAATGGAAAAGCTCTGCTGCGACGGCACGCTCATGCCTCTGCCCACACAGCAGCTGTGGGTGGAAGCCCACTGCAGAAGTTTGGAGATGTTTAAATCAGCTCTTTTACCCACAAAGCCCGTTCTTCTGCTTCATACTGGAGCTCCCTGGATTTGGAAACAAGTTCACTTTGAGATCCTTTCTGAGGGCGAGGTGGCTCTACTCGTCCTGCACCTTCCAGCCGTATAACACCGACCCAATGAAAACATGAAAATGCACACAGACTGAAGCGTAAGAGCTAACACTAAAAGACTCGTGCTGAGTTCAAAGCCACGTCAAAAAACTAGGTTTTCAGGAGTGACCGACTTGTTGAATCAACACGTGCTGATCTGCTGCAGATGAGATCTGAACGGGTGTTCATGTTTAACCTGTCACTGAGATTATTCAAACATTTTAGGAACTTTGAGGGAGATGAACTTTATTCAGGAGTCCCAGTTCTGCCTGAGACCTTGGCAAAGATGTACGGGGTAAGAAGGTCAGGTGCAGAGCTCTCTGGTTTGGAGGCCACACAGCTGGATGCCGCTGCATGTGTGACGCAGTGTGTTGATCCGCTACAGTCCACTGGTGTCACGTCCATCGTCACCCAAGCTAAGAAACCCTCCCTGATGTCCTTCAGATGCTTCACTTCTTACTTACCTTTTCATTTGATCCTCCAGACATGAAAATGCTCCACCTTTGGGTGAAATTCGCCCTTCTGAATATGAAACGGGTCACCTACACGACTCGTTCAGATCCGATGAGGAAATAGCAAGGCTGGCTTTCGTAGTTTAACTAGTCCCAATATGACCCGCTGGGTTAGGGTTAAATAAATATATGCGGCGGTACCGGTGATGTTCTTCTCGTCTGGTAGGCCCCCAGACGGCTCTTCCCTGCTTGTACGATGAGCCAGAACGGAGTACCGACGGGTCGAGGAAAAACTGGAGCGTGATGAGTTGCGCTAGGACAGCAGAGAGAGAGAGAGGAGACGAGGACTCACCTGGAATGAAACCCAGGTATCATTCATCCAAGGTGGTGAAGGAACACTCAGCTGTAGACTATGCCGTCTCTGGCCATCCGGTTTGGGCTGAAGGTCCTCGGGTAATTTCAGTCTGGTTGGGCTCTGCTGCAGCGGGGTGGGGAGGGCAGTGGTCTAGTGTAGCTGTAGACGTTCCTGCTGAACCTGAGCCGGGCTGACCTGGTTCAGGTTAAATTCTCCTGTAAACTGGGTTTAGTCCACCGCTGAGTTAGATGCTTTCTTCTCCTCAGAGACACCACGGATGTAAGGAGATGATAGAAGTCAATGTCCCCAAAGGAAGGTTAGTTAGCTGGTTAGTGAAGGGGACACCCTAGTCCAGCCCGCTGCCTCCTGCTGAAGTTATTATTAATAATCTTAATATTATTGTAATTATTAACAAATCCTAAATAAACATCCAACATTTTTATTGGACGTTTGGGAGCCTGGTTTGTCACATTTCCTCTGGGTTCACACCAAACCCTAACCAGGCTAGACGTGACTGTTTGAGTTGTTCGTGTGAAAACAGTCATTCAAATACAGTAAAAGAACCTGTTATAACACTAGAATGTGGTGAATAACATCTGCTCACTAAAGTCCTTCTGTGGGAGACCCCCAGACCAACTCCCATCACCTGATGTCTCCGTCCTCAGAGCTGAGGACAAGACTGGGACATGTGGCTAACCGTGTCTCACTCTTTGTCTCTTCACTGGTACTTTCCCTGATGTGGCCGAGCATGCGTGTGAGGGGTCATGTCTGGACCTCCCTTAACGGGACCTTGATGTGACACCCTCTCATACGACAAACGAGCCACACTGTGCTCTTTTAAGTCCTCAGGGACGGCGGTGTGTTCAGGTGTACTGGGAATGTTGGGCAGGGTGCTTGGACATCATCCATCCACAACAGCTGGATCAAGCGTGTGCTTTAACCCTCCAGGGTGTGTCCGAAGAGAGAAGGCTACGCCGATGAGTCACAGCAGCTGCTCAGCGCCAGCGCTCCACCTGCCAGTCTCAGCCTGCTGGGGAACTTCGAGGTATAATCTGTCATTTTCTGACAATAATCCAGTAGCTTCTCTGAGGGTTCAGCTGCAGTAGCGTCATTCATTCCTGTTTCAAAATCAACAAGAAACACGTTTTTATGCACCGCCTCTCAAAGCAAACCCTCCAGCAGGGTATCCGCGGAGTCTTGAAAAGTATTAAAAGGTGATAAAAGTAAGACCCTTAAAAAGTATTTAAAAGTTTTATCACGGCTTTATGAAGTCTTAACTTTTTTAATTATTTTTTCTGAATTATCCGTCCAACAGATTGAATCCCTAAAACATCGTAGAAGTGTGCATTTAGTCATTTTTATTTAAAAGAACAAACAGGGTCTTGTGGGTGCGTTAGTAATTTTCCTCTCAGAGCACAAGGGCGGGCGGGGCGAAAGTTCAAAACCACAATGTACACTCTGGTGTTCCTGGCGCGTATCACCAGTGCACCGACACTCTGGTGTTCCTGGCGCGTATCACCAGTGTTCCTGGCGCGTATCACCAGTGCACCGACACTCTGGTGTTCCTGGCGCGTATCACCAGTGCACCGGCACTCTGGTGTTCCTGGCGCGTATCACCAGTGCACCGACACTCTGGTGTTCCTGGCGCGTATCACCAGTGCACCGGCACTCTGGTGTTCCTGGCGCGTATCACCAGTGCACCGGCACTCTGGTGTTCCTGGCGCGTATCACCAGTGCACCAACACTCTGGTGTTCCTGGCGCGTATCACCAGTGCACCGACACTCTGGTGTTCCTGGCGCGTATCACCAGTGCACCGGCACTCTGGTGTTCCTGGCGCGTATCACCAGTGCACCGGCACTCTGGTGTTCCTGGCTCGTATCACCAGTGCACCGGCACTCTGGTGTTCCTGGCGCGTATCACCAGTGCACCGACACTCTGGTGTTCCTGGCGCGTATCACCAGTGCACCGACACTCTGGTGTTCCTGGCGCGTATCACCAGTGCACCGACACTCTGGTGTTCCTGGCGCGTATCACCAGTGCACCGTCACTCTGGTGTTCCTGGCGCGTATCACCAGTGCACCGACACTCTGGTGTTCCTGGCTCGTATCACCAGTGCACCGACACTCTGGTGTTCCTGGCGCGTATCACCAGTGCACCGACACTCTGGTGTTCCTGGCGCGTATCACCAGTGCACCGGCACTCTGGTGTTCCTGGCGCGTATCACCAGTGTTCCTGGCGCGTATCACCAGTGCACCGGCACTCTGGTGTTCCTGGCGCGTATCACCAGTGCACCGGCACTCTGGTGTTCCTGGCGCGTATCACCAGTGCACCGTCACTCTGGTGTTCCTGGCGCGTATCACCAGTGCACCGGCACTCTGGTATTCCTGGCGCGTATCACCAGTGCACCGGCACTCTGGTGTTCCTGGCGCGTATCACCAGTGCACCGGCACTCTGGTGTTCCTGGCGCGTATCACCAGTGCACCGGCACTCTGGTGTTCCTGGCGCGTATCACCAATGCACCGGCACTCTGGTGTTCCTGGCGCGTATCACCAGAGCACCGGCACTCTGTTGTTCCTGGCGCGTATCACCAGTGCACCGGCACTCTGTTGTTCCTGGCGCGTATCACCAGTGCACCGGCACTCTGGTGTTCCTGGCGCGTATCTCCAGTGCACCGGCACTCTGGTGTTCCTGGCGCGTATCTCCAGTGCACCGGCACTCTGGTGTTCCTGGCGCGTATCACCAGTGCACCGGCACTCTGGTGTTCCTGGCGCGTATCACCAGTGCACCGGCACTCTGGTGTTCCTGGCGCGTATCACCAGTGCACCGGCACTCTGGTGTTCCTGGCGCGTATCACCAGTGCACCGGCACTCTGGTGTTCCTGGCGCGTATCACCAGTGCACCGGCACTCTGGTGTTCCTGGCGCGTATCACCAGTGCACCGGCACTCTGGTGTTCCTGGCGCGTATCACCAGTGCACCGGCACTCTGGTGTTCCTGGCGCGTATCACCAGTGCACCGGCACTCTGGTGTTCCTGGCGCGTATCACCAGTGCACCGGCACTCTGGTGTTCCTGGCTCGTATCACCAGTGCACCGACACTCTGGTGTTCCTGGCGCGTATCACCAGTGCACCGACACTCTGGTGTTCCTGGCGCGTATCACCAGTGCACCGACACTCTGGTGTTCCTGGCGCGTATCACCAGTGCACCGACACTCTGGTGTTCCTGGCGCGTATCACCAGTGCACCGACACTCTGGTGTTCCTGGCTCGTATCACCAGTGCACCGGCACTCTGGTGTTCCTGGCGCGTATCACCAGTGCACCGGCACTCTGGTGTTCCTGGCGCGTATCACCAGTGCACCGACACTCTGGTGTTCCTGGCTCGTATCACCAGTGCACCGACACTCTGGTGTTCCTGGCGCGTATCACCAGTGCACCGACACTCTGGTGTTCCTGGCGCGTATCACCAGTGCACCGGCACTCTGGTGTTCCTGGCTCGTATCACCAGTGCACCGGCACTCTGGTGTTCCTGGCGCGTATCACCAGTGCACCGGCACTCTGGTGTTCCTGGCGCGTATCACCAGTGCACCGACACTCTGGTGTTCCTGACGCGTATCACCAGTGCACCGACACTCTGGTGTTCCTGGCGCGTATCACCAGTGCACCGACACTCTGGTGTTCCTGGCGCGTATCACCAGTGCACCGTCACTCTGGTGTTCCTGGCGCGTATCACCAGTGCACCGACACTCTGGTGTTCCTGGCGCGTATCACCAGTGCACCGACACTCTGGTGTTCCTGGCGCGTATCACCAGTGCACCGACACTCTGGTGTTCCTGGCGCGTATCACCAGTGCACCGACACTCTGGTGTTCCTGGCGCGTATCACCAGTGCACCGACACTCTGGTGTTCCTGGCGCGTATCACCAGTGCACCGACACTCTGGTGTTCCTGGCGCGTATCACCAGTGCACCGACACTCTGGTGTTCCTGGCGCGTATCACCAGTGCACCGGCACTCTGGTGTTCCTGGCTCGTATCACCAGTGCACCGACACTCTGGTGTTCCTGGCGCGTATCACCAGTGCACCGACACTCTGGTGTTCCTGGCGAGTATCACCAGTGCACCGACATGTTAAAAGTATCACTCATCACTGTAAATGGATACACCTTGAAATGGCAGTAAGGTATTAAAACATATTGAGAAGGTCTTCAAAACGTCTTGCATATGGAGCGGTATGGGGGCCAAAATTAAGACTACTGCCCAGCAGCAGGAGGATATATAAATTCTGAAGCTAACTACTGACCTGATTAATGATAAGCTGGCGCCAGTAACTGAGAGGCTGGTGCTGCTTACTGAGAAATAGCACCTTTACCGGCGTTATTACTAGATACGCTAGGGACTAGCAGCCCTCGGCTGGTCATTGACTGGTTCACACTCTCCCTCTGCTGTCTATTAGCATGGATAAGCTAGCGTTAGCCTGGACGGACTGGTGTTAGTGACTAGCTGACTAGTGACTCTCTGAGACACGCTAATGGCTAGCCTCTCGGATGCTAACGCCAGCCTATCCATGCTAATGGTCCGCTGAGGAGGTAGGAAATCCAGCTAGTGGCCAGCCTAGGCACGCTAATGGCTAGCCTCTCCAATGCTAACACCAGCCCGTCCAGGCTAACGCCAGCCTATCCATGCTAATAGACAGCAGAGGGAGCGTGTGAACCAGTCAATGACCAGCCGAGGGCTGCTAGTCCCTAGCGTATCTAGTAATAACGCTGGTAAAGGTGCTATTCCTCAATAAGCAGCGCCAGCCTCTCAGTTACCGGTGCCAGCTTATCATTAATCAGATTAGTAGTTTGCTTTGGAATTTTTATAGCCTCCTGGTGCTGGGCAGTAGTCTTAATTTTGGCCCCCATACCGCGCCATACTTGAAAGGGTATTAAATTTAACTTCAAGATT